TTCTCTATCATTACGAATATTTTTTATTTATTTTTCAAGTTGTGTTTCAACTTTAGCCTTATAGGTTTTGATTGCATCCAAGGCTTCGTCTTTACTTCTTAAAAGAAAGATATAGCAAAACTTTGTACAATCATCAATAAAGGTCACAAAGTATTTCTTACCACCTCGAGTTTGCACAAATTTAAGATCGTATATATCGCTATGGATCAATTCAAGAGAGGTTGTATTCCTTTGTATTGAATGGAACAATATTTTAGCTAATTTTACTTCAACACATATTTCACATTTATGATTAGGATTGATTTTATGCACTGAAATTAAACTTTGATTCATTAGTTTACGCAACAATTTGTAATTCACATGTCCTAATCGACCATGCCACAAACATGAAAGTTCAAGCAAGTAAACGGAGTTTATAGTTTTATTCATAACGACTTGCTTCGCTACAATTGTAAGAACGTTCAACTTGAACATTCCATCACACATATATGATTTCCCTACATATATCTCATTCTTAGACAACACAAATTTATCGGATAAAAATACAAGTTTAAAACCATTCTTGCTAAGTAGAGACCTGGACACTAAATTCTTTCGTATATCTGGCACATGTAGGACATTGTTGAGGATTAGTTCTTTCCCGGATGTCATCTTCAAAGTGACTTTGCCTTGTCCTTCAACTTTGGAACTTGCAGAATTTTTCATGTATAGTTGTTCTCCATTCAATTCTTGATAGTTGGAGAACATCGCCTTGTCCGCACACACATGGCGGGTAGCGCCAGTGTCAATCCACCATTCTCTAGTATTTCCAATCATGTTGCATTTAGACACTACTTCAGATACAGTCCATTGGATAGAGTGTTATTTGCAACCATGTGGGTTTGAGCATTCTTCTTTGATTTTCAACATTCACTTGAACGATGTCCAGCTTTGCCACAGTTATAATAATTCCCTTTGAACTTCTTAGCCTTCTTGGAATTGTCTCTTCGCGGTGCATAATTAGGAATCTTTCATTTTTTGTTTGTTGCCTTTGGTTCCATTTCAACAAAATTTGCGCTATCTTGATTAACCGACCTTTGTTCAGTTTTCTGATTGTCCTCTTCAATCCTCAAGTGTAAAATCAATTCTTCCAAGTTCATTTCCTTACGTTTGTGCTTGAGATAATTTTTGAAATCTCTGCACATAGGATGGAGTTTCTCAATAATGGCAGCCACTTGGAATGATTCACTCAATTCCATTTTCTCAACATGGATGTCGTGTAACAAGACTTGAATCTCTTACACTTGGCTAATCACGATTTTAGAATCCACCATCTTGTAGTCCAAAAATTTGCTGATAATGAACTTCTTTGTTCCGACATCCTCTGTTTTGTACTTTGTCTCCAAAGAATCCCATATTTCCTTGGCCGATCCTTTGAACTATACACCCCATATAGTGTATTATCCAATGCGTTTAGGATATAGTTCTTGCATAGGAAGTTCGAGTGTTTTCATGCATCCAAAGCAATAATCGATTCACGATTATTTTCTCCTTCTTGTACAACCGGTGCAGTTTTCTTTAGAAATTTAGCCAAATTAAGAGTGGTGAGATAAAACAACATCTTTTGTTGCCACCTCTTGAAGTCTACTCCTGCAAAATTTTCCGACTTTTCCCCATGCGGGATAGTAATACTATGCAACGGTATGGCCACGGGTGATGCCACATTATTGGAACCATTTTGATTTGATGAAGTCCCAATGGTAGTGATTTTTGTTACACAAACAAAAGTTCAAGAAAATGATGATAATATCGGTGGGATAATGTTTGTTCACAACCAACCACAAAGACACAAAATTTGTCTTAAGATTGTTGGAGACAACTTATAAAAAGAGTTATGTAAGGGTTGATTTTTGATATATTTGTTTGACCAGTTTTAACCCACAAGAGCGTGATCGAAACACAATTTATATGAATGAAAATTTGGATAGAGTTTCGTATAACAATTCGCAAAACAAGGATTAAGAAAAAGTAGAAATAGAGAATAATCCAAGGCGAGACGCTATTTCTTTCCTTAAGACAAACTGCTCCGCTACGATGCTCACAGTGAATGACACTTGTCTCCCAAGATACAATGGATTCACAACTTGTGGTAGCAGCACTTCAAACCACAAGAGACCGATGAACTTTGACAGAATTTTCCCTCTACAAAGGAAATGTATGAAAATGCTATGGAATTAGAAAGGAGAGAATTGCAGGAGGAGAATGAATGCTCAATGCAATTGGTGTACCCAAAATCATGTCCATAGGGTTTTATTTATAGATGTAGAAAGAATGCAAATAAAGTACTGTCGGCCAAAACATGCATCTTTTCCAACACTTGGCCAAAACTTGCATCCTTTCTAAAAGTTGAACACTTCATTTCTTCCAACTTTGGTCCGCAATTTCTCATTCATTTGAAATTGGTTTCGAGATTCCAAATATATCACGATGATCTACACGATAAGTAAAATAAGTTAGTCTATTTACTTTTGTAATTTGACCATCGGATCAAATCCGAATATTTGATCGAAGTTGACACGTAGTCACACCTTTTCATTTTTCACTTTTACACACCCTTTCATTTTCCAATTTTTGGTTAATTATTTGAACCAATTCCTACAAGTTGTGTGCTGGACATTTGGGTATACATGACCGTATGTATGAATGTCAACTGACCTCCTTCCACCAGGGGTGGGAAGTGGAGAGTCACTCATCGACTCGACTCGTCCCAACCGTGATCCACGCAAGCTGCAGATGCTAACCTAGTAGTGAAAAACTCGTGCGAGCTGCTCGTAATCTTGCATGAGTTAGCTCACAAGCTGGCAAGTCCATAACAAATATATAGCGTGCATGGCTTTTTCAGCCATATAGGTTGCCTTGATTTATCAATGGCAGTGTTGCCATTGATCAATCTCAACACTGCCATTGATCAATTCAAATTTGAATTTTATATATATATATATATATATAATCTTGCATTATTTGGAAATCAAATTTCATCACAATTCACTTTCAACATTCTCTACAATCTCTACAATATATTGCTCTCAACTATTTAACAGTATAATTTTTACAACTATCACTCTCATAATTTTATAATTATTACCACTCTTGATTTCACAATTTGTTTGAAGATAAATTTTTAACTACTTATATTTTCCTTATTGCACTATTCTATATAATTTACGTAATGGCTATCTGATTATCATATTCATGGAACAAAGATGATGTGTTCAATTTCTTGTCAAATTTATAAATATTCGATGAAAAAGTCAGTTGTGTTACGATGTTCGGTATAATGAAAGAAGGATTGAAGTTTTTCTTACTAAACTACGGAGACAGTATTTCTATAACTTCTGATGCTATGTATTTTATTGATAATAATTGGTACGTATATTTAATAGCATCATCATTATGCCTCTGTTTGGTTCAGCTAGAAAAATTAATTAAAATTTAAGCCAATGTTAATAATTAATTTTAATCACACATTTTATAGGATCCACAACTGTTAAACATACATACCATCAAATTTTATCAATAGTTACTAAAGATATGATTTATATCTAAATCGAACAAGGACTATATCTTGATGAAGATAATTTGACCATTCGTCACATTGCACAAATAATTGTACATTTTTTATAATATTTTAATTTAATTAATAAAATATATAGCGTATCTTGTTCAAGATCGATGGTTAACCTTGTGATTTTTGGGCATTTGTAGGAGTTAATTTTTTCTTTTCATCTTTGTTAGTTGTTTGAATATAATTATTATGTCAAGGGTATACTATCAATGATGCAATCAGGTACTCATATATTGAGAGGTATTTTAGGTATACCGTTGGAAAATACATGAAAAATTATTTGTTATCGAGTACTAATTATTTTTTTCCTAGTTGCAGTATTCAATCCTCATCTCAAATTGCGTTGGACCAAACATTGCTTTCAATTACTTCAAACTAATTTAAAATTTGCCTTCGAAACAAATATATTTTCATTACGAGAAATAATAATATACATGTATAATTTGTACTTTGGTTTGAACTACATAGAGTTAACTTTTCCTAAGATCGAAATATATAGAACAAATATGCTTGGATCGCCAGCATGGGACGAGACATTAGTAGGGATTGACTTCTTCAATATAAGTCAATAGCAGGATGCACAACAGTATCAATATCTGATATGGATTGGTATTACTTGAAATTTGTTCATACCACACACTTTATCAATACTTATAAACATAATATCTATCATGAGAGACCTTGTATTGGATCAAGATGACATCATATGGCCTATGTAATATTAGAACCTGAATAAAGGTCTATGATTGTATTCGTCGAAGGTTTCAAGGGTACAAAGGTCGCCTTGTGACATTTTTAGAATGCTATAATTGCACATCTATATTTTTATCTTAACTGTAGGTTGAGTTCTTAGGCGAGCCAAGCCCAATTTTCATGCAGCGAGCTGACTCAGACTCACAAGTGAGTGCAAATCCGCTCGCATGGTGCTGGCAGTAATTGAGCCAAGCAACTCAGCTCCATTTCCACGCCTACTCTCCATCCCAAAAATGTTTGAGCCCTATTCTTTAAAAAATATATATATTCTTAAATGATATCTTAACATCATTTCAATTATAAATTTTTCAATAAAATAATATTACATACAAATTTAAAATTTTTACTTATTTTTTAATCATATATTTATCATCAATACACTGTTCAAAAATTCAATCTGCTCAAACAAGGGCCTAATATGCTTTGACTGATATGTTCGTTCAATGTTAGCCCCCGTTTGAGTTCCATTATTTGTAGATTATAATGAGATGAATAGTATTTTTTTGAAAAATGAGCGTTTGAAAAGTTTTTGATTTACATGTAATATTATTTTATTGAAGATTATATTGTTAAAAATAGGAGAGAGAAAAATTTAATTTAATGTAATAAGAAATAATGGGACTTAAACGGAAGGCTTAATAAAGTCACTGTACACATTGACTGTTGTCCGTTACATTTTCTCCACTTGACCTCCAATAATGGCGGCTGCAAACCTCGTCTCTCAAACCCCAACAATCCATCCCACAAAATCCTTGAAAACCCCTTTAAATCGGTTTCCCATAAAACACATTTTACCGTTCAAACTCAAGCTCACTTCAAGACTCGCCTCTCTGAGCGTAAGGGCAGTTCTGTCCACTGCGGATCCCAAAACCCAGAAGCTTCAGCATTGTTTCACCAAATCTGAAGATGGGTATTTGTATTGTGAAGGAAATAAGGTTCAGGATGTTATGGAGATTGTGGAAAAGAGGCCTTTTTATCTATATAGTAAGCCTCAAATTACTAGGAATGTTGAAGCATATAAAGAGGCTTTGGAGGGTTTGAATTCAATAATTGGT